ACCAATGCTACAGCACCTAACGACAATAACAACACATTTTGCAGAAGTCCCTGTGTGAATAACCACAGCCAAAGACCCTCTCTGGGAAAGTCTTTAAGTCTTAGAATTTTTGTCTCTTAGCTGTTGGTCTTTATGCTCCCTCCATGGCTTGTTTCCTCATGGTTTCAGTATGGCTGCCTGAGCACCAAGGATTGCATCCGCATTCAAAGCAGGAAGGAGGGATGGGTGGAATATGAGCGCACTGGTGATAGTTTTAATTTCGTCTGTTTGTTTTAATCAGAAAAGCTAGCGCTTTCCCAGAAGTTCTCTAGTAGACTTTGGCCAGAATGTGAACTGGGTCACCCTTAGCTGCAAAGGAGGTCTCTGCAGTGGCCTCTGGAGAGAAAAAGGGCAAGGGCAAAGGGGAGTGGTAATGGGTAATGTGTTGGCTGTTCAAAGCATCTGCCACAAGGTGGAAAAGCCCAAATGGAGGTGATGGACCAAAACCCACAGAGATGAACGTCTTGTAGTTTAGAGCAGCTCAAAAAAACAAATGACCACCAGGGGGCACCTGTAGTCCCACCTCAACGTCACTCCAATCTTCTTGATAAAAAACGAAAACCAAACCTGTTGCTATCGAGTCGATTCCAACTCACAGCAACCCTACAGGACAGGGTACAACTGCCCCATGGGGTTTCCGAGGAGCAGCTGGTGGATTAGAACTGCTGACCTGTTGGTTAGCAGCCAAACACTTAACCACTGCATCACCATGGCTCCTTAGAAGCGGGTTTTATTGGAGGAAGGAGTTTATTAAGTTCTTTGCATAAAAATAGGGATACAAAGGAACTGGGGGCAGGGCAGTGACAGTTTTACCTCTTTCAAGAATAAAAACAAGTTTGGACCAACTTCCAACCTCCAGCTCAGAAGGCGGTAGGGGACAAACCTTTCCAGCTTCCTCTTATCTGTGGTCTCCACTGTGTTTCTCTACAGTAAAGGTGGGGGGTTGGGGGGGTGCCTGTGTGCCCTCTTCAGAAGAAGCTGGGAAGTCCTTGTACTCTCCACATCCAGGCTTGAGGGTTCAAGTGAGTGGTAGCAAGTTTAATGAGGAGACGGGAGGGGAGGAGAGCAGGCAGCCTTCCTGAGGGCTGTGGCAGGGAAGAAAAAGATTCTTCTTGGCTGAGATGGGGGCCAGCCTGGGCCCAAGAAGTACTTGAAGGCTTAATTTTAAAAAGTCAATCAATCACTCAAGGAAACTCTGCAACAGCCCTGTTACTGGAGAGCAGATGTGCCAAGGTCACTGTGAAAGTGACAGCAGAACTGATATGGTACAGAATTTAGGAAGAGGATTTGTCCCAAGGCCTACAGCTATGTCAGCTGCAGGCAGGGTCACATGGCCACAGCATTGATGATCAAGGTGCTCTGGAGGCTGAGCACCACTAACTACTCTTGGTGGGCGACCGGACCCTGTTTGGAAATCAGTCTTTTATGACTAGCACCCCCTGCTCAAAGTCCATGTCATTACAGGTTAACAGCACCTTTCTTTTCCACTTCTCTGCAGGCCAACCAGGTCAAGAGCACCCTGTTCAATTTCTTCTCGTGCTATCAAACAACCAGCTTCCTCATTCTGCAATCATTTGAGGTGGCCCTTCCCTGATGCAAAACTTCTCTTTTGTATTTGTGCTAAATACATCTTGTATCTCTTCTACTAAAGTAATAACACACAATTGCAGCATGCTGGTTCACGGAGAGGAGTCCCTGGATGATGCAAACAGTTAATGCCCTTGGCTACTTACTGAAAGGTTGGAGGTTCGAGTCCATTAGAGGGACCTCAGAAGAAAGGCCTGGAGATCTACTTCTGAAAAAAGCAGCCATTGGAAACCCTGTGGAGCACAGTTCTACTCTAACACACACGGGGATCACCATGAGTAGGAATCGACTTGGCAGTTACAAAACACTCTCTTCTTTAGTCTCTCTGAGTTTCTCTCTGCAAGTTCTCAGACGGAGCCAGACACTCCCTCGGAACATCCCTCTAGAGTAAGTCTTCCTTCTGTACTCGCCAGACACCAGTGTGCCCTCGAGGTGTTCCGGGTTAATGTCGGTCAAGTTGTGGGTGGTAGAGTAGCAGTGCAGGCTGACTTTTAAGGAATACTTTCATTTTGATATATATTCTAGATGCAATATACAAAGTCAACTATTTCATCAAATAAAATTTTTCACATAGAAAATGCTATAAGAATATTGTATTACTACACTTTTTCTTTCTTTCTTTTTTTTTTACTTTATGTGTACTTTTACCATCTATCGACTCATTTTCTTCTCACACTCCTGTAGACCAGAAATACAAAAAAAGCCAATTTCTTTTCTTCAGGTGAGAAACCTTATATTCACTTTTGCCAACCAAAGGATGACTGAGCAAGAAAGAAGACTCCAGTGTGCTGACTCCTGGGCCCACGTTCCTTCTACCACACCCCACGTCAGGAGGTTCCAAATCAAATAACTCAAAGGCATGCTTCCTTCGTGACCTCCAAAGTCAGCAAAAGAAGCAAAGGCATCGCCATGCTACAAGGAAGTAAAGCAGTAGGGGAAAAGGATAGATGTGCAGATAAGGTCAGTTTTGCTACTGAAGCCATTTATCACTTTTTAAAAAATTTTTTTATTGTGCTTTAGGTGAAAGTTTACAGAGCAAATTAGTTTCTTATTAAACAATTAATACACAAATTGCTTTGTAACATTGGTTGCCAACCCTGCGATGTGTCAACACTCTCCCCTTTTCCACCCTGGGTTCCCTGTTTCCATTCCTCCATTTTCCTGTCCCTTCTTGACTTCTTGTCTTTGCTTTTGGGCTGCTGTGCCCATGTGGTCTCGCGTACATGACTGAACTACGAAGCACATTCCCCACGTGTGTTATTGTTTGCCCTATAAAATCAAAATCACACCAAACCTGTTGCCATCGAGTTGATTCCGACTCATAGCAACCCTATAGCCTGTCTAATGTCTGGCTGAAGGGTGAACCTCAGGAGCAACTTCAGTACCGAGTTAAAAGGGTGTCCGAGGACCATACTCTCAGGGTTTCTCCAGTCTCTGTCAGATCAGCAAGTCTGATATAGTTTTTTTCCGTGTGAATTTGAATTTCGTTCTACATCAGGACCCTCTATTGTGATCCCTGTCAGAGCAGTCGGTGGTGGTAGCCAGGCACCATCTAGTTGTTTTGGGCATTTATTATTTTTTTAAGTTTATCTTTTACTTTTTAAGTACACAATTCAATTTTTTAAAACTATATTCACAAACTTGTGCAATCACAACCACCTCACTTCAGAACATTTTCATCACCCCACGAAGACACGCTGTGCCCATTAGCAGTTATTCCCACCGCCCTCCTCCCAGTCACTAGTCTACTTTTTGTCTCTATAGACCTGCCTACTCTGGACCTTTCATATAAAAGGAATCATACAAAATGGGGCCCTTCGTGTTGGCTTCTTTCACTTGGCATGATATTTTAAGATTCATCAGTGTTGTAGCATCTATCAGGGCTTCATTCCTTTTTATGGCTAAGCCACTCCTGAGCCCCAGGAATTCTTCGTGTCTCTTCCCTGCCAGCTGTGGGGATGAGAGGAAGAGGGCATCACAGTTTCAGAGCAACTGAAAAGAGCTCTCATCCTGCTAGCACCCAGAGAGAAGAAATAGACCCCTCAGGAATATCACCAACATTCCTCCGCAACCTTCTTCAGGTAAAGGATGTGTCAGACTCATCAGCCGACCATCTTCACTAGGCAGGCAGGACTGTGCCAAGGACCTACCACAGTGCAGCCCCAAGTCATTTTCGAGTCGGCAACCCTGCACGTTCTCCAGATGACTGCAATGCCAAACCTGTTACTTAAACAGATGAGGTCCAGTGTCACCCAGGAAGACTGATTCTTTTGACCTCCACCCTTCTGCAAGCTTTCAGGGACCTACACTTAAACTGTGGATTCACAGTGCAGTCAAAGAATTCCTCATCACCACAGTTGTCTTTTGCTGATGCCCAGATCAAAGCCTTCTAGCTTCTAAAGCATTTTCTGGAACAGATCCCCCATGACTGATCCCAGGACAAATATTTCTTGCTAACCCCCCAGACTCCCAGATGCCTCTCCCATGTCAGGTTATGATCTGGATTCTGGTGGCCTGAGCCAGCAGCTTACTAAAGGTCTCTCCAGTTGGGCATAACATTAGATGTTCTTACAGCTATTCTTCAATGTCCATCCTCTTCTCCTCCTTTCTAGTACAAGGTGGACAAGGAATTATCATGCTTATTTTGCAGAAGAATAAATGGAGGATCAGTAAGGGCAAGAGGCCAGTATTCATTAGTAAAAGGTGACAGAACAGAAATAAGCAGCCCTGCTGGCGCAGTGGTTAAGAGTTTGGCTGCTAACTGAAGGTCCCATCAGCCACTGCATGGGAGAAAGATGTGGCAGTCTGCTTCCATAAAGATTACAGTCTTGGAAACTGTATGGAGCAGTTCTACTCTGTCCTATAGGGTTGCTGTGAGTCGGAATTGACTTGACGGCACACAACATTTCCCATCTTACTCTCCTGGACGTACCAAGTTGATACAAGAGAGGGTCAGTTAACTAAATACTTCTTCAAAAAAAAAAAAAAAAAAAAAAGAAGCAAGAGAAAAATTCCAGTCAGCTCTTAATTGTCCAGATTTGAGGAAACATATTTAAACCCAAGCTGCATTTCTGCTGCCACCAGTACCTTTCTTCTTTTATAATCGGGCAGCATGTATCCAGAACATGACCTATATTAACAGCAAATTATCTTAGGAGGCTCAACTTCCTGTGTCTCTCCCCATCCTGAGTTCTCCAACACAGATCAAAGCCCACCATAAACAAAAAAAATAGGCAAATCGGTATTTGTTTACTTTATATGTGGATCTAAAGGAAAATCAGGCCTTCTACCAGATTCAGCCTGCCAAGGAAAAGGCTTGAGAAGAGCAATGAGCCCTGCCCTGTCCTCCCCCAACACCCAGCTGCATGTCTTACCTTTCCTTCAAACTTGGCGGTGGCCCCTTCTCTGATGCAGAGATTCCGAGGAGGCAAAATGAAAGCAGGGGCCTCGGTCAGGGGCATGGAGCCGACTCTCGAGTGATCCACTCCCAGGGAAGTTTTGGAAACGTGTGTTGAAGCAACCAGCTTCACATCTCCCATGGTCTGCAGAAGAGGAAGGAAGAGGACCAGGTTAGATCAGACAAAGCACAGCACCGGCTTCCCTTCCAGGTACCTGGTGGGCCCACACGCTGGTTGGAGCCCCAGTATTGTGGGTCTTGACGTGGAGTAGGTACCCAGTAGGTCACTGACCACCTGAAGCTTCTCTCTGTGTCTTCCATGCCCAGGGGCTGCCAAGGGAAGGCACAGCCACAACCCAGACACCAGCTCCCTGAGCCATGCCCTTGCCTCCTCAAAACCCATGGAGGACTTCCCACCTTTCCACTATTCCCTTCTTATGGAAAAAGGGCATCTGGGGACAAGAACACGGAAATGGAATTGTTTTCACAGGTTCTACCATAGGTATCTAAAATCACTATGTAATATTTGTTGACCCATCAGAAGTAACATCCTGCATTAAACACTCACGCTTTTCTCTGAACTGTGAAGGCTCACAGGCTAAAAACAGGATCCATACGTCCAAGAAAGAAAAGCAGGTTAGGGTTACTATGGCAAGGATCCTGGCTGAGGTGAATTGAGAGTTTGTGGCTTAATGAATGAAGGAAGCAAGGTTAGAAAGGATATTCCATCTCTGAAGACTAGATTGTGAAAAAGGCTCAAAAGTCATGGAACGTCAGAGAGGGGAGACGTTTAAGACGATCCAGGCTAACTCCTGCACTTAGAGCTGAGGCCCAGAGTGGCTAGGTCACCAAGGTGATAAAGCAAAAATGGTGGCATCACTGGCCTGCATACCTGGGGCTCCTGACTCCTGGTCCAGGGCCTAGTTGGGACTAGATAACATGCTGGGCGGGGCTGGCAAGGAGACTGACAGGAGACGTAATATATGATTACCCCTGCACGGCAATGTTCTTTTATAATGGTTAGTTTTTCTCAATTTATATATGTTTCATTGTAAAACCTGGAAAATACCAGCAAGTGAAAACAATAAATGACCATTTATTGAACAAATACTCTGTGTCAGACACTGTATTGGCACTTGATACATGATCTCATTTGTTTGAATCCTCAGAATTACCCCATGAAGTAAATATAATCATGATTTTGCAAAGATGAGAGGTGGAATAACTTGCCCATCACAGTCAGTGAGTGGCAGAAGTGGGAGTTGAACCCAGATTTACAAGGCTCCACAGCTCACGATCTTTCAGCCATGCCACACAGCCTAAAGGAAAAAAGGGGAAAATGGCCATAGCTCTATTATACAAAATGGCGGCACCTCTCCCTCCAGTTTTTTTCTATGAATATAGAAAGATACAGTATTTTACATGGTTCAGAGCATACTATATATACAGCTGTTTCCTGTTTTTATTCCCATAATTTTTCTTAAAATAAGGAGGTATAGGGTAAAGAATTGAACTTCACCCAAAGTTATTTGGTCTTTGCCTTTGTTTCCTGAGGGATAACTCTAAAATCTTGTCATTTCCTGAATAATTAAAATGCGTTTGTTATCTAGACTTCTAGACCACACCTGGGGATTTGTGTTTATGGGTGGGGCTGATCTGACCAGAAAAACCACCAATGGCTTGATATTAGCTAACTTCAGGGGAGGAAGCGGGGCTGATCCCACTCAATCATGACTACATAATGAATCCAATAAAAAGCTCTGGACATGGAAGCTCCACGGGCTTCCTGGCTGGTGAAAGACACAGATGCATGTGTAAGGGTAGCACATCCTTTGGGATGTGAAAGCTTGTGCTGGGAACCCTCCTAGACCTTGCCCTAGGCATCTCTTTTTTGCTGTAATAAAGCTATAATCATAAGTATAGCACTTTCTGTGAGTTCTGCGAGTCATTTCAGAGAATTATTGAACCCAAAGGAGTAGTGGGAGCCAACAGGTCAGATGTGAAGGAGTCCAGGGGGGACTCCTGAGCTTGCGGCTGGCATCTTCTAAGGGTAGAGGGAAACCTCAAATTTGGAGCCAGCAGATCAAAAGCGTTGTATGGACTACCAAACTTGTGGCTGTCTGCCTGTTTGGCAGTCTGAAGGACGATGTCCTCTAACTTGTGAACTCTGATCTAGCTCTGCGTGGTCAGGGTTAGAGGAAGAAGTGTTGCATGGGCAGCTGGTGTCAGACAGAAGAGAGAAGTGGAAAGTAGGCATCACTCATATCCTCATAGTTGATGACAGAAAAATGGGGTTTTGAGATTTCCATTTTATGGATGTATTACAGCTTATGTAACTACCTCCTTACTGCTGGCCATTTGGACTATTTCTCAATCTTTTATGATAATAAACCCCGTGATAAGCATATGTGTGCCTAAATCTATGTCTGAATTCCTGATGATCTTCTTACTGATCGATTCAAGAAGTGAAATTATTACGGTACCAATCTGAGTTCTTGGTTGGAAATGACAGACACTGACTCTGGCTCTCATAAATGGGGAAGGGATCGGTTGGAAAGATTGGGGAGGCGGGGCGGCGCCCACAATCCAGGGGAAAGGGCTGGAGAACCAGGCTGGGAAAACAGGCAGAAGTCGAGGAAAGCCAGTGCTCAGACTCCAGCCAAGGTCACAGTACAGGTCACTGTCCCGGCCCAGCTGTCACTAGATTCCTCTGCCACCACTTAGAATGCATTCTATCTGCCCAGGTTCCAAGTCCAGATGGGAGCCTTGCCAGGTGGGGACTGCTCCATGTTGGGGACCATGTCTTACCACGGAACCCACAGTGCCTGACTCAATCCAGGGACTCAACAAACATCTCCTGAATTGAAGAGGAACTATATTCCTTGGGTTTTTTTCTGTTCACTTTCTTTGGATATCGGTCACACTGTTAAGTTCCATACTTGTGAGTTGGGTAAATGGACACAAGTGAACAGTGGTATCTGGGGCATGTGATTAGTTTGCTTAAATTTAATAAGATCTAATAAAAACAAAATAGGGAAATATCTTATGAAATATAACTTAAAGTAGAAAAGATCTAGTTCTGTTTCTTGCAGGGCTTGACCTGCTTGATAAGCCCCCTTTCTCTTTCACTGATAAGATATTGGCTTTGCAAATAAATTCCTTTCCAAATGTAAGACTCACAGACTCTGTAGGTAACAGTAAAAGCAAACACTTACTTACTATATGCCAGGAACTATTCTAAGCATTTCAGAGACCTTGAGTGGCGCAAATGATTAACTCATTTAGCTGCTAACCAAAAGGTCGGTAGTTTGAGTCCACCCACAGGTGCCTTAGAAGAAAAGGCCTGGTGATCTACTTCTAAAAAATCAGCACAGTTCTACTCTGATGCATATGGGATTGCCATGAGTTGGAATCCAGTCCAGGGCAACTGGCACTGGTGTTCTAAGAACTTTACAAATAATACCTCATTTACTCTTCTCTTACCAACAGAGACAAGTTATCCCATTATCCCCATTTAATGGATTAGAAACTGGGACACAGTGAGACTAAAAATTTGCCCAAGGTCATGCATTTAATAGGAGGTAGAACTGGTATCTAGACCCAGGCAGTATGGGCCAGAGGCCCCCTCCCCCCCATTTTTTTTTTAATTTATTAATTTCATTGTGCTTTAGGTCAAAGTTTACAGCGCAAATTAGTTTCTCATTCAAAAATTTAGACACAAATTGTTTTATGACATTGGTTGCAATCCTCGCAATGTGTCAGCACTCTCCCCTTTTCCCTTAACACCCTAGGGTCCCTCACTTCCATTCGTCCAGTTTTCCTGTCCCTTCCTGCCTTCTCATCTTCGCTTTTGGGCAGGTGCAGCTCATTTGGTCTCATATACTTGACTGAACTACGAAGCACGTTCCTCACGTGTGTTACTGTTTGTTTTATAGGCCCGTCTAATCTTTGGCGGAAAGGTGGACTTCGACAGTGGCTTCAGTTCTGAGTTAGCAGGGTGTCCAGGGGCCACAGTCTCAGGGGTTCCTGCAGTCTCCAGTAAATCTGGTCTTTTTTTTTGTGAATCTGAATTTTGTTCCACATTTTTCTCCTATTCTGTCTGGGTCCCTCTGTTGTGATCCCTGTCAGAGCCATTGGTGGTGGTAGTGGGTACCATCTAGTTCTTCTAGTCTCAGGCTGGTGGAGGCTGTGGTTCATGTGGTCCATTAGTTCTGTGGACTAATACCTTCCTTGTGTCTTTGGTTTTCGTCATTCTCCTTTGCTCTGGATGTGATGGGACGAATAGATGTATCTTAGATGACTGCTTGCAACTTGTAAGACTCCAGATGCTACGTAAGATGTAGGACACTTTCTTTATGAACTATGTTATGCCAATTGATGTAGATGTTCCCTGAGACCACGTTTTTTTTTTTTTTTTAAGCTGTTTTATTGTGGTAAAAACATAATAACACAATACTTGCCAATTCAACATTTTTCACTTGTACAATTCAGTGACTTGATTACATTCATCATGTATGCAACTACCACCATAATCCATTTCCAAATTACTCCATCATCATTAACAGAAGCTCAATGCCTCCTAAGCAAAGACTTGCCCTTTCCCCCTCCCTCTCACCCTTGGTGATCAATGATAAATCCTGGTCTCTATATATTGGGCTATATTATATAAGTGAGATCATACAATATTTGTCCTTTTGTGACTGACTTATTTCATTCAGCATGTTTTCAAACTTCATCCATGTTGTAGCATGTATCAAGACTTCATTTCTTTTTATGGCTGAGTGGGATTTCATTGTGTGTATGTACCACATTTTGTTTATTCATCCGTTGATGGACATTTAGGCTGTTTCCAACGTTGGCTATTGTAAACAGTGCTGCAGTGAACACTGGTACAAGTTCCTGTTTGTGTCCTAGCTTTCAATTCATTTGGGTGTATACCTAGGATTGTTGGGTCATATGGTAGCTCTAAGCTTAGCTTTTTAAGGAACTGCCAAACTCTTTTCCACAGCGGCTATACCACTTTGCATTCCCACCAGTAATGGATGAGAGTTCCAATTTCTCCTCATCCTCATCAACACCTGCTATTTTCTAGTTTTTTGGATCATAACCATTCTAGTGGGGGTGAGGTGGTATCTCAATTGT